TGTCATGATCAAATGTTTAGAATACATATTCATCGGATGAAATGGGTATTGATTGGAAAAATGTATGATATTATATGATAGATATGTTAATGATAATGATAGTATTTGTACAGGTATGTGTTTTGTTATATGAAATGTTCTATGGTTTTTATTATATGTTTATATGCCTCACTAAGTCAACGACTTAGCGTGTGATTGTTTTACACGTAGGTTTCGAGAAGAGTAAAGAGCAATAAGGAGCAAGACAGGTCAGTTCTCCTTACCAAATGTCAGATCAGAAAAGAGGTGAATAATACGTATTTTAATAAATAAAGTTTTAGTTGGCATGTAATCAAAAGAATATATTGTATAAGCTCTGAATAGTTTTGTAAACGTTTTGAATAAGTTCAATGTTATAAAAGTTTTTAAATTACTCACTATTTTATATGAATAAATGTTTGAAAAGACAATGTGACACTTCGGACTCGTATCCGGGTCGGATACGGATTGGGGGTGTTACAATTATGTTCACCGTGTTGGTAGAACTGGTAGAGCTGGGTCGGGATGATGCAAGATATGTACCGGATCTTGTAAAAGCTTTAGAACTCTCCAAGCAAGTTGTTCCCGATGACCTGAAAGCTCTTGCTGATGGCTTTATGGCAAAAGTAAATCAGGGACTTGAGCAGGCCCATGGAACAGGTTATGGTGGAAGTGGCTTTAAATTCAATTAAGAGGAGGATGAAAAGAGAAAAGCTGCAAAGAAAGCTCAAGCAAAAGAATACGGGTTTGAGGAAGACAAGTCAGATTCAGAAGATGAAGGGGTTCGGAAGGCAGGTGGTGACATATCACAACAGACAGCACTTGCTCAAATAGCTGCCATGGCTGCTGCCTCCAAAGCTAGTACTGGTTTGATGCAGAATCCTCTATCATCTGCTCAGCTGCTTCCAAATGCTGTATTGCCTATTTCTCTTCCCGGTGTACTCGGTGTGTCAATGCCCGGTACTGCAGCAGTTGTTCCTGGTAGTGGGTTACCTGGTCTTCCAAATGAAGAGGCTACCCGGAAAGCTGCACTGCAAGCTGCTCTCAATTTACAGCATAACCTAGCAAAGATTCAAGCTGATGTTATGCTGCACATTATGAAGCCGACTTGGAGATTAGTGAATTTCCCCAAAATGCTCGATGGAAGGTTACCCACAAGGAAACTTTGGGCCCAATATCAGAATGGACTGGAGCTGCCATTACTACGAGGGGCCAGTATTTCCCACCTGGTTGGATCCCAGGACCAGGAGAACGGAAGTTTTACGTGTTCATTGAGGGGCTACTGAGCAATCTGTTAAGAGAGCTAAGGCTGAATTGAAACGGGTCCTGGAAGACATCTCACACCAGTCCTTACAACTTCCGACTCGAAGTAGTCGGTTAACTAAAAGGGACTCCACAGGCCGTGAAACATCGACCGGACCGGTCAAGTCTTTCCGGGATGGAAAGGTAGATTTGAAAAAGCAATCTAATTAATAAACGAACATAAACGAATCTCCCGCCGCACGGCTCATGAACGATTCGCTTAACGTTTAATTAATTTACAAGACTAGCTTTTCACATTCAATTATTTTCTATGTATGTTACGTTGATTTTCCTTTCAATCATCATGAAGGGTTGAATTCTAAAACTATACCAATCGAAAGAGATTGATAAAAGTCAATATCTAACCGCACGTGAATCTTATTCCTCATCAACAAACATCAACATTCCTCTTTGCAATTGGCAATATGTTTCCATGGACCAGTATATTTTATGGAATATAATATTATTAATTTACTTTTCAAAAGATATTAACATCTAAAAGCCAGGAGAATTTTTTTATTTGATCAATACTAAAAAGATCTAGTTAGGGTAAATTACGCATTTAGTATATAAAATATCAGTTTTGGTTCGTTTTAGTACCTAAACTTAAATTTTTTTCAATACTACGTCCAACGTTTAGTTTTTGTTTCGTTTTAGTGCCCTTCATTAAAAACTAAAAGAATGGGTTGACCGGGTATAGCTCTGGTGGATGGATGACCAATTCGAACGGTGGACCACAATAGAATGACTAGTCGACTAGTATTATAGTCTAGTTTCAGACCCATCGGATGGTTGGCGATGGAGATCGAATGATAAAGAAGTCAGAGTCCATTATTGATTTGGGAAGACATTTTCCGGTGAAACGAAGGTCAAAATCATGTTAAGGGGTCGAACAGATGCGAGCTGGAAAACTTGGGCTTCATCGACCGACGGATACGATAATCTACAGACTGTAGATGTGGCGACTAACTAGTCCGTTCGCTAAGTTTTTAATGACGGGTAATAAAATGAAACAAAAATTAAACGTTTGGTATGATTTTGAAAAAAATTAAAAGTTTAGGTATTAAAATAGATCAAAATTAATAATTTAGATACTAAACGCGTAATTTACCCAAAATATTATTATGTTAAATAATTTGAGAAGGATAACAATCCCTCTCACCTCCTGAATGGTTTAAATTTTAAACATTGTTGGTTATTTTATAGAAGTCTATTGTAACTTCAAATATTTTAATTTGTTTATTTATATTTTTTTTATAAAATTATTAAAAATGATATTATGGTCTATATTTTTTAAATAATATTAAGTATTACTCATAAAATTATTAAAATTGCACATTATTGTTTGAATTTTATATATTTTAACTATGTGAGTAGCCATTAAAGATTTTCATAACATGTTTTTGTTAATAGTAATAACAATAACATAATTATCAATTTGATCTTATTAATATTTTAAAAATAGAATAATCAAATCATATTTGATTAAGTCAAAAAAATATATCTCAATTTTGACTTAATATAAGGATTAAACCCGTAATTACACTAATAATTTATCATTTGTGTTTCTCCGGGCACTCTTTTTCCCTTTCGTTTTCTTGATCGCTTCGGCTCGACTAAGTTATGAGGTGGGATGGAAATGTGACCTGAACCCGACTGATCGGGTTGGGTTTTTTTAAAAAAATTGAGTTTGGATCAGGTTGGGTCGAGTTTTTTAAATGTAATGTTCGGGTTGGGTCGGGGTCGGGTTCGGGTTTAGAGTGAAAATATCCGACCCGGCCTGAAAAAATATAATTTTACCTTATATATTTAAGAATAATTACAATAATATCCCTCTATGTATTATTTTTTTCAATTAAGTAACTGTTTTTATTTAATAAAAATAATATTTTTTATTATTTTGGTTCGATTCAGGTCGGTTGGAGTCGAGTTTTGAAGTTATATATCGGGTCTGGTGAAATATTATTTTGGTCGGGTCGGGACGGATATTGAGTAGAGGATTCTTTGTTCTCGGGTCGGGTGGACCAAAAACCCGACCCAACCGAATCCATACCCATCCCTAGTTATGAGAGGATTTTTAATTAGATTTGTCTGTTCATTTAAAAAAAATTATCGTTGTATTAATTTTGGCACCGATAATAATATCTATAGATAATTTTTATAATTTTAAATGGTCGAATATTTATATTGTATTTTAATTAATTAACTTTTAATAATGTGAGATGATTTAGTTATTGACGATAACACATACTCTACACACATAACTGCTCAAACTCGAAATCTTCTAAGAAAAAAACATTCTTTTTTATCAGCAACGTTACCCAATTTTAACTAAATTTGTACATTTATCTTTAATGCTTGAAAACATGTGAGGGACCATTGAAAAATTCCCAAAAAAAATATGACCAAATTAATTTCAATACTTAAAAACATTTATTATTTGAATTGGTACAATTTTTTATAATTATTTTTAATTTCAAGTTCCTATTGCTTTCTCATCCAACCTTATTGACCATTGAAAAATATACATAAATGTTTCAATTCTTCTTTTCCTTAAATTCCTTCTAGAAACTATAAATATGACTTAGATTCGGAATTCATCCCTAAATTTTTATATTAAATTAAATTATTCAATTATTAAATTAAGTTTATATTATTTTTAATTCATTTGTTATTTATAATCAAGTAAAGTTATTTGATATGATTTGGATTTTATTTAGAGTAAATTATGTATTCAACCACTTATTTTTATGGTTTCGTTTTGGTCATCAAACTTTTTTTTTAAATCATACATAACGTTATATTTTGGTTACCCACTGTTAAAAGATTAACAGTAATACTAACATGTCATCGTAAGGTAATGTCATATCATCGTCTGAAAAAACTAAAAATTATATAACGTCAGTAGTTATGTTTATTTTAAAAAAAATACATAAGAGGTCCCTGTACTTTTGGAAAAAAACTAATGTGAGCCCTCGTATTATTTTTCTCTAGGTGTAGCTCTTTAACTCAGAAAACAAACTCAATGTGGCTCTTTGACCAACATTTTTTTATCGTTTGACTGTTACAGTGCTGACGTGGTAGTTCACAGTGCTATCGTGGCGGTCTACGGTACTGAAGTGGCAATCCTTCTATCATATTTGAGTTACTAATTTATCACATCTATCACGTTATCCACCAAGTTATCAACTACTACGAATTATCACGTCAGCACCTTTATTTTCTAACGGATAATGATCAAAATAATATGAAATTTTAACGTTAAGTATGATTTAAAAAAATAATTAAATGACTAAAATATAACTACAAAAATACGTGAATGATTAAACACGTGTAGTTACCCTTTTATACAGAGGGAATGAATGTATATAAGTAATACATGAACTTACCGCCAAGTGGCTCAAGTCAACCCTTTCACATCCGACAAGTGTTCGAACTTTCTCACAAAAAGAAAGCATACAAACAAACATGTAAAGCCAAAAAAAAAAAAAAATAGCCCATCGTTTCTCAAACTTGGTTTGCTCTTCAAATCTTCGTTTTCACATTCATTTCTGACTTTTACAATGATGGGTTTTCTATTCTATTCTTCTTTTTATCTTTTGTTTAATTAATCGAACTTTTTTCAACAGGATAAGTTGATTCTTGTGGGTGACATATAAAAACCATTTCAACTTTCACACTGTTTTCTGGGTTTCCTTCCCTCAAATTCTTCTCTCTAATCTCTATTTTCTTCTCCTTTTTCCTCGTGGATTGAAAGAATCAGAAAATAGCAAAATACCCAGAGCTTATTTTTCTCATGGGGTCTTGCTTTAGCTCCAGAATTAAAGCTGAGAGCCCTCCTCACCATGGTATGCTTTCTTTTGAGATGTTCATCGGGGTTCAGGGTTCACGTTTTCAGGGCTCAAGGTTTCAGGGTTCAACTTATTTTGAGATGTTTATGTGTTTGATGTGTTGCAGGGGCCAATTCAAGGTGTGTTAATGAAACGAGTGGTTCAAGCAGCCAGGTTTCGGTGCCTAGGACCGAGGGGGAGATTCTGCAGTCTTCCAATTTGAAGAGCTTTAATTTCAGTGAATTAAGGACAGCCACCAGGAATTTCCGACCGGATAGTGTTCTCGGCGAAGGCGGTTTCGGTTGTGTTTTCAAGGGTTGGATCGATGAGAATTCATTTGCGGCTTCCAAGCCTGGTACTGGCATGGTTATTGCTGTTAAAAGGCTAAACCAGGAGGGTATTCAAGGCCACCATGAATGGCTGGTGAGTTTTATATATTCCCCCTGTTAAAAGGCTTTGCAGTAGTTTCGAATTAAGCTTTTACCATAAATGTGTGGTATGGTTTGAACATATACATATAGGTGTTGTATGATTCTCGACATAATGGTTTGATCATAATCATGTCGAATCCGCCCGAGTCTGTGTAAGGTAGTGTTTGAACATATACATATAGGTGTGGTATGATTCTTGACATATATGGAAAACTTATAAAGGTTTGAAGATGGTTATGTTGAATTCGCCCGAGTCTGTGTAAGGTAGGGCTGAACATATACATATAGGTGTGGTGTGATTCTCCACATATATGGAAAACTTATAAAGGTTTGAAGATAGTTATGTTGAATCCGCCCGAGTCTGTGTAAAGTAGGGTTGAACATAGACATATAGGTGTGGTGTGATTCTCCACATATATGGAAAGCTTATAAAAATTTGAACATAGTTATGTCAAATTCGCCCGAGTCTGTGTGAGGTAGGGTTGAATTGAACAACAATCGTGAAAAGAATGAACTTATGGAAACATCCTTAGATGTAAAATGGTACTACTTTGATGAAATAGTTTGTTATTGAACTTATTATCTTATGTGTGTGTATCTTCCCCAAATAATTGCTTAGCCCTTGGGTTAAGCTTTTACTATGTAAAGGGGTATGGAGTATGATACCTGTATCCGAGACGTAATTGAGTACGGGGTATTGATAACCTAGAAAATTCTGAACATATTCCTGTACGAGACATATCCATATCCGCAAAGTCCGAGTAACTTAGGTTTGAACAACAATGGTGAAAAGAATAAACTTACCAAAACATCCTTAGATGTTAAAAACTACTACTTTCTTTAAAGATATAGTTTGCTGTCGCTGTCAAATGCTCGACCGGTGGGTATATATGAGAGCTCAGAGCTCTGCTGTAGTTTAAGAGTCATTGCTTAGCCCTTAGATTAAGCTTTTACCATATGGATATGGGGTATGAGCCTGTATTCGACTGATAATTGAACATGCTTATCGGTATGCTTCTCCAGATACAAGGAAATTTAGAAATAAAATGAACAGAGTTGTATCAGAGTTGGAGACATATCCGTATCAGCTCGAGTCTGTCTAATGTAGTTTCAAAATCATTGCTTAGAGCTTAGATTAAGCTCTGCACAAATAGGCTTGCTTAATTTTATGTGATTTGAGAATGAAAACTTCCACCAAAAGGTTAGTCGAACGACGACGGTGAAAGGAATAAACTTCTTGGAACATTGTTCGATGTCAAGAAATACTACTTTGTTTGATTAAATAGTTTGTTAATTTCAATGATTCATGTGGCTTGTAGGCTGAAATCAACTATCTGGGGCAGCTTTATCATCCCAATCTTGTGAAATTAGTCGGTTACTGCTTAGAAGATGATCATCGGCTTCTGGTTTACGAGTTCATGCCGAAAGGAAGCTTGGAGAACCATCTTTTTAGAAGTGAGTTTTTCATTCATTTAAAATTTCCTTTTGTTAATCAGTTCGATTGTCTCATATATCTTATTACAATGAAGCAGGGAATTCTTATTTTCAGCCACTTTCTTGGAACCTCCGGATGAAGGTTGCTCTCGGTGCCGCCAAGGGTCTTGCGTTTCTACATTCCGATGAGGCGAAAGTGATATATCGAGACTTCAAAACATCGAATATCTTGCTCGATTCGGTAACACGGACTTAACAAGCGAAATTCTTTATCCGTACTTTCGGTTCTCGCAGCTTTCTCATATCTTTTTGTTCTCTATGTAAAACGACAGAACTACAATGCAAAACTCTCTGATTTCGGTCTGGCCAAGGATGGACCAACCGGCGATAAAAGCCACGTCTCAACTCGGGTCATGGGCACCCACGGCTATGCAGCCCCCGAGTATATCGCAACAGGTAGCTTTTTAACTCGACACCGTCTTTAACTCGAATCAAATTTTAACTTACTTGGTTCTTATCAAGGCCATCTAACCGCGAGAAGCGACGTGTATAGCTTCGGGGTTGTTCTTCTCGAGATGTTAACCGGAAAACGAGCGTTGGACAAGAACCGACCGTCGGGAGAACATAGTTTAGTGGACTGGGCCAAGCCTTATCTTACCAGCAAACGCAAGATGTTCCAAGTGATGGATGGTCGTATCAAAGGGCAATACACGCAGGAAGCTGCGTTAAAAGCTGCTTATCTCGCACTGCAATGCCTTTCTACAGAACCGAAATATAGGCCGAAAATGGCTGCCGTAGTGAAAGCATTAGAGCAACTTAAAGATTCCGGGGACGATAAAGTGGTGTCCGAGCGTTCAATATCAAATGGTTAAGTCTTTGAATAGATAATACTTTGTATTTACCCGGACTAATAAAAAAATATTTTATAATTTTAACAGTGTTGATTCTATTGAAAATATGTTCAATCTATAGTAGTAGACTTGCATGGACGAAGGAAGATTTTTTTCAATATAAGTATTAATTTTTTGTAGCATTATATGTATATATAAACTTTAATTTTTTAAAAATTAATAATTTATTATCTTATAATTTCTGATAATTTTTATTTTAATATTTTTAATATTTTCTTAATAATTTAAAATTTTGAATAATTTTTAAAATTTTAATTTTTAATTCTTAAACTTTATATAAAAATCAATTAAATCTTTAAATTTAATTTTAAGATATTTTGTAATGTCATCATTCATACCTAAAATGTTGTATTATCACATCGATTCAGCATAATAAAGCGTAAATTATGTGTTTAGTACTTAAATTATGATTTTTTGTCCGTTTTAATACCTAAACTTTTAATTTTTTTAAATTATACATAAAGTTTAGTTTTTATTCCATTTTAGTACACCATTCAAAATTTAATGTTAAGTTTTGAAAAAAAAACAAAGTGAAAGGTAAATGTACTAAAACGAGCTAAAACTGATAGCTAGGTATTAAATGCGTTAAGTTTTTAATGACGGGTACTAAAATGAAACAAAAACTAAATATTAGGTATGATTTTAAAAATATTAAAAGTTTAGGAGCTAAAACGGAGTAAAACTGATAATTTAAATACTAAATACGTAATTTACCCTATAATTAATAACCACTACAACACTGCAATTTTTTTATATTAAAATTATTTTTAACTTGAGAAAAAAAATTATTTTATATTAAAAATATGTCATCAAAGAACCCCATCAAAGTACAATCGGGCCGGACTCGGACCAACAACAACAGCTCGTTTCGAGTCCGAAATCACATCGGATTCATCATCTTTTCGACTCTTTGAACATGTCTACTTACAATAATAGTATCGTGGTTCGATCTTCGAAGAACATCCCGTAATTTTATTTTACCGTTTTGAGAACGTCTTCGATATTTTCCAGTAGTTTTTTGAGCATGATAACCTCGTCAAACTGTTTTTTGTCTGGCAACTGCGATTCCACTTGCTTCAATTCCTTCTCGCAGTTGTCGACGTTAGCCACGGCAGCTTTCATGTTGAACTTCTCTGATTTGTGATTCCTCGATTCCATGGCCGTACGGGCCTTATCGAGTTCCTTCATAGCCGATACGACTTCATGATCGCATATACCGTATTTCGCCTTGACATCGGGCGTTAGTGGCACAGGACCCTCAAGTACGGTAGTCTTGAGGTTTCGGGAAACGTCGGAGGCATTATTAACGACGATTTTGATGAGTATCGACGCGATTAAATCCGACTTGGCATTGTCGGGAAGATATCTCCCGATGTATGATTCCTTGAAGCTCGAGATGCAAAGTTCCTTGTGCTTAGTCTGCTCACATGTTTTGGTGATGTCCGGCATGGCGTTTAACGACGGGAAGAACCAAATGCAAACGAAGAAAAATATAACCAATGTGACATTATTCGCGGCGGAGTTCATCGTTTTCGTCTCGAGATTATTGATTATACACAGAAGATGATTTGAATGAAGTTAGAGGAGCTATGATCTTTTTATACCTAAAATGATCTTGCAACAAGAACTTTTTAAGGCTTAGAATTGAAGACTAAAAGACAATTACGCTTATCCGCTCATTGTAACACCTAAAAATTGTGGTGGTTGTTAGATTTAACTCTTGGTCTATATTATATATATGTCCATATTAAACATTAAGAACAAGGTTTTGTCTAGGTTGTAAATGAGACGGGATAGACCGTGAGCTACTCGAGATCAACTCGATCTAGCTCGATAAATACTCTACTCGACTTCTTAACGAGCCGAAACGATCGACTTGACACTTGACTTAAAGCTTGCGATCAACTTGATTTAAAAAGTTTAATTATTAATAATATTAACATTTATGTGTTGATTTTTTTTTAAAAAAAAAGTACAATGTAAAATTTTCATGTAATTAAGTTCATATACTGAAAACAATTAAATGAATTTAAAGATTATATTAATATAATTAATATATTTGAGAAAATAATTTTCGACGGCGACTATTTCAACAGTTTTTTTCCTCACTTAACTAATTGGCTTATTGTACCAAAATTAGTCTAATCTTTGGAAGAACTTAGAAGACCTATTCACTTGGAGAATATTCCATTAGTTTATGTCTTTGTGATAGGTGGAATCTCAAGGAATATTTTATAGTTTATGCATTTGTAGTTTAGGGCTCAACTCACTTTTTTCTTCTTCTTATTATTTGTAACCCCTTAGACTCGACCTATGCGTTACGACTAAGTCTAACGGATTACATTAAAATTTCTATAACATTTTCGATAATTTAAAACCATATTATAAACAATATTTAACAAAAAGGTCACATAGTTAATATTGATAGAAACCAAACGAGTAAATATATAAAACCGTCAGTGACTGAGTAATATATGATACATCAAATATCTATATTGCAGTAATAATCATAAAATAAGTATTTCAAAATAAAGACACATGTCACCGTAAATGAAAGCAATTAAGAAGATAGAAACATTACAACAAAAAATTCTGTAAGAATGTGTCGATCCTCCAAGTGTCTAGTTCGGGATGTCTATCCAAAAGTATCTGAAAAGGGGAAAACAGTTTGAAAAGGGTGAGCTAGGGAGCTTAGTGTGTCCCAATAGTGCAAATAAACATGGTAGGTAAAATAATCTAGAGTGTTTCAGTAAGATATCATAAAAGGTCATCGATAAGTTGAATTTAAAACTCATAATTACCCTCCTCCCGTACACAAAAATGCAGTTTCCCCATAACTGCATTCATAAGGGCTTACCTTATACTCGTTGAGTATATGAGCCAACCTAAGGGAGCACCTAAGGGCCTGAGAGCATACCCAAGAAAATTCTCGAGGCCCCGAAGCCTACCCAAGGGTCGTCTTAGGTCCATAAGGTATTACCAACTTGATCAGAGTTGAACCTCCATACTCCAGTATCCTGCCCAAGATAGATTCTCAATAAAACAATTCAGATAATAAACAGTGAGATCAATAATCCGTAAAACGTCATATTCATATCCTCTAGTGAAACAGGTAACCAAATAACATATATCGAACAATCATAGTTTATAAGAAATCATCCAGTAAATCAAAAACTAGTAAATCATATCATAGTTGTTTAAAGGTTTGCTAAATCAGTAATTTCAAAAAACACATTTCAAAACAGATAAAACATGCATATAGCACATAAGGAACACACCTCATAAAATAGAGTCGGTCAGGGTGTCTACTGAACCTCCATCGTACTTTTTGAAGTATGGTACTTGAACTTTAGACATATGGGTAGATGGACAAGTGGCTCATTACAGACTTGTGGATTGGATTCAGCTCAGAGGATCACACCACTAAAAGCGTATCTCACAACCGATATTCGGATATGCAACTTAGGATGCTTTCCAAAGGTAAATTGTCATTCCTACACAAGGAAGCTCAGTGCTCATAATGAGGTGTGATGTTTCCCCCTACTTAAATAATTTGGGATTAAGCTCGGGTTTAGAGCTATGATATGCAACGGTCCTAAATATTCACAGAAGTGTAAACATTAACCAGAGAAAAATACTTTATTTTCTTTTTTTTAATTAATTATTTTTTTAAAATTTTAATGTGTTTTTTAAAATAACATAATGAACTGTAAATTAAATAAGATCGAACTCATAATTTCTAGAATCCTAAATATTGGGTAACCAACTCGTGGCTCGACTCTTAAGTTGTTTTAAAAACAAAAGTGTCTCCAGTAGAGTCACCATATTGTCAACACCGTTTTTTGCCCATGGGTTTTCTTTGAAAAGATTTTGGAAATGTGAGGAGTCGACACCAATCATTTTAAGGTGTGATTGGAACATCAAAAATCAATTAATTTTAATAAAATATTTTATTTTATAAAAATACCAAGTTTAGGGTCTACAAAAACCAGAAAGCAAGTTAAAGAGTCAGTTACGCGTGTGGAATGATTAGCACCCCCACAACACTAAAAAATTGGTACCTAGTTGATTAATCTATATTTAGAATCGAAAATTATGAGTTTGAACTTTATTTAATTTAAAAATCATTACAGATGCAAAGTTGAAAAATATATTCGTTTATTAAAGCCAATAACATTCTCCCTCTAGCATGAATGTGGGAGATCAACTATTATGCCCATTGTACATTGCCTCGATATTTTAGAAATTATGATACAATCTTAAAAAGGATTTCGACCTATTTTGGGAATCACCAATAGTCACCCCTGAGCATACTTGCGGGAGATATACTATCGAGTCCCTAATAAGTGAACATTGCCTTAGGTTTTAAAATAAGATGCAATCAAACAATTTATTATTAATCTTAATTAAATTAAAGGTAGATTAAGGCTTTCTCTATCTTGAAGTGTCAAATTATGAAAATTAAAGAACCTAGAGGCATAAACCTAAAAATTTAGGCTTTAATATTAATCCTACTTGATTTTAAACCAGCTATTAAATCGAATAATCGATATGGTCCCTTGAACATTTAGGTGAGGGCAACTCAGATTACTCCTTAAATTAAAGGGGCTATATTGAAATCTAACCTAAAGTGGAGGCTCTAATTAATAACCTGTTTAATTATATTAATTTAAAAATTCTAATTAAAACTTTAAGGACTAATGTACAAGGAAACTAAAGTCTAGAGACCTAAATGTAAGACTTTAAAATTTAAAGTCAAAATCTATAATGCCTAAAGTTTAAGGACTAATGTACAAGGAAACTAAAGTCTAGAGACCTAAATGTAAGACTTTAAAATTTAAGGTCAAAATATATAATGCCTAAAGTTTAAGGACTAACCAATAACTCAAGGCGCTAATAATTATCCTAATTAACTATTAAAAATTAAGAGATTAAATTAGGTGAGCTTTAAAATTGATTGATGATTAACAATTTAA